GGTGCCAGGGTGTCCCCCTGAGGGTGTCCCCGGCGCAGGCGGTGATGGGGGTGCAGGTGGTGGTGAGCCTGCTGGCCGCCAGCCTCATGCAGAAGATGGCCCCACACTGCTCCTTCGCCCGCTGGCTGCTCTGCAACGGCAGGTAGGTGACCCAGCCCTCCCTGCTCGTCCCCACGGGGCTTTTTTTTGGTGGGGGGGGGGGGGAAGGGGGGACACCCGGCCCCGCTGACACCCCACTGCTCCCTTCCAGCCTGTTCCGCTACAAGCACCCCTCGGAGGAGGAGCTCTGTGCCCTGGCAGGCAAACAGCGACCCAAGGGCAGGAGGGACAGGTCAGCTCAGCCCGTGGCTCTGGTGGGTGTGGGGGGGACATAAATCCATAAATATTATGGTTTGGGGACCAATAGAAGTCATCTCGGCGTGATGGGACGCGTGGTACCCTGCAGATGGGCTTGGGGCTGGTGCTGGTGATGAGGAATCACAGAATCTTCTAGGTTGGAAGGGACCTTAAAGATCATCTTGTCCAACCCTCAACTTAACTTTGACAAAAATAGACACCCACACAACAAACAAGGAGCATCATCACTAAACCAGACATCCTAGCACTACAGCACCCCGGCTTTTGAACACCTCCAGGGATGGGGCCTCAACCACCTCCCTGGGCAGCCCATTCCAATGGCTGAGGAAGCCCAAGTTGGGGGACGTGCCACCATGTGGTGTCCCACACGCAAGGGACGAGCCAGCTCTTTGCCTCCCGTCCCGAGCCCAGGTTCCTCTTGCAGGAGGATGAACGGGGTGACAGATGACAAGCCCCTCTCCGTGCCCCGGGACATCGACCTCCGCTTGGACACCAGCCCCATCACCGCTGTGGATGCTCTCGGTACCCTTCCCCTGCACCCACCGCTCCCTCTGCACGCAGGACCCAGGGGTCCTGGCACCCAGCATCGCCTGGGACCCTCGGCCGTGCTCAGGGACCACCCCCTGGGTCCCCACAGCGTGGTGACACGTCCCTCTGTCACACCAGTGCTGCGGTATTTCCTGGACTACCAGTGGTTCGTGGATTTTGCCGTCTACTCCACCGCCGTGTACGTCTTCACCGAGGGCTACTACTGCCTGGTGGACCCCCAGAAGGAGACCAACATCGGGGTGCTCTGGTGCCTGCTGACGGTCGTCTTCTCCATGTATCCTTCTGCCGGCTTTTGAGGTCCACCCCATCCTTGACTTTTTTTCCCCATTTAAAGCCAGTGGAGGTGGAAAAATGAAATTTATGGATTTATAAACCCCTCACTGATGAGCTCTAAAGGTCCTGAATGAGAACCTTCCCCACCAAGAAGGTGGTGGTGGCCTAAGGGTGTGGATGGTTTACGATGTCCTAATGAGCAGGGGGGTCCTGCTGGTGTTGGGGGGCGGGTCATCCTGAAGCCACCCCTTTTTCCTTGATGGCCATCCCTCGCCCACAGCAAGGTCTTCTTCATGGTGATGCGCCATTACTTCCGCTCGGAGGAGGGGGGTGAGCGCTCCGTCTGCCTCACCTTCGCCTTCTTCTTCCTCCTCCTCGCCATGGTGGCCCTGGTCATCCGGGAGGACTATCTGGAGTTCGGCCTCGAGCCTGGTGGGTGCGAGCGGGGACGGGG